AAGCTGCTGAAAGAAGTTTTTTGGACCAGCGTGTAGAATTAAGTCCTGGTCAAGTTCAGCATTTTGAGGCTGCAAAATTAAACGGTGTAATTGAACGTCTTGAGAAGAATAGAATGTCGAATCAGGTATATTCTTTATTCATTTTTCCATTATAATGAACTTCTTCTAATCCTTTTTTGTACTTAAACTCACTTTTTTTTTTCTCAGGATTGGCATCCGCCCGAACAACTCCTTGTCCAAGATTTAACGAGATTAACCAACGAGTTAACCAAGACATATACTCATCCCGCCTATGCATCTCAAAGATATCAGCTCACACCTGCCAAAGAAAAAGATATGTTTATGAATACTGTTATCAAAAGAGTTGAAAAATTACAATCATATCGTATGAATGACCAAGACGCGGACTCACCGAAAGAACGACGAGAAAAGGCATGGAAAGAGATCGAAGTCATAGTGAACAAACAACAAAACAGTTCCTACATGAACAATCAACGCGCTACGCGATCCCCTAAAAAATTTAGTTTTTTTTAGAAAAATGCATATTTAATTATTAACCGTCATTGTATATTTTAAATATCATTTTCTGTAACATACCTTTTTCATTATTTATCGTTCTTTTAACAAACTTCATAATACTTTGCATGTCATAAAATGAAGCCTGCCCTTGAGGTCCCATTGGCTATGTGATGTAAAGTTATAAAGAACAAGTCAATCTTTGAATAGAGTTCTCGATGCGAGTATTTTTTTTTTTCATTTATATTCAGTAAAAAGGTTGTTACATAATAGAGAGATGTCTAGGCTCTCTTCAAACTCATTAAATCATTTATTTAGCATCATTATATATGTATTGGATTTAGTTAAATGACAAATCTTACCTGGTTAAATAAAAACGAATAAAAAGTACTGTAAGTTGAAATACCGTATTAATAAAAGTTCCATAAAACAATTAATACATGACGTTCGTCATGTGATATTTATCACATGATAAATATTAATAGAGTTAATTATTTATAGTATATACTGTATTTCAATTCAAGTTTAACTTAATCAAAATAAAGAAATATATTATATAATTTAATATAAATACTTTTTTTTATTAATATCATGAATGAAGC